CCTTTCCCCTTTTTGCTCTCTTTCTTCTTTCTTTCTTTCTTTCTTTCTTTCTTTCTTTCTTTCTTTCTTTCTTTCTTTCTTTCTTTCTTTCTTTCTGTCTCTTCTTATTTTTTCTTTAGATTTGTCTTTTACTTGTGGAAAAATTCTCAATAAAAATTATATTTAAAAAATAAACTTCCAAACAACACCAATCAAAGATGTGATTCTTTTTGTTTGTTCTTTGTACTGTGTTATTCCTTGATGAATAAAACCCAATAATAATAATAACAACACCATCAAACAATAACATCTACCCATCTCAGGTCCTTGGGAAGGACTCGAAAGGTGGATAAAAATGCCAAATCCAGTCTAAACATCTGTCTGACTGTGTGCCCAACCATAATAATTTTACATAAACATTACTGTTATTGAAAAGAAGAAGTTATAATGTTATCATTCATTCACATGGCAATATGTGGAGAGAGTCAAACTGATGAAAAATAATGGGAGAAAATAGCCAAAAATTGTGATTTACAAATATTGTGAAAGATTATTGAGGAAAAAAACACTGTCATGCTGATTGTAAAGTGGAGGCTTTGATGCAGTGCCCTAAAAAAAAAAAAATAATCACCAAATATTTAGAAATTTAAAACTCATTGGACTTTATCCCTTTGATTATGTAAAATACTACCATACTTGGAACAGCATACATTTGACAGCGATACTTCCATGGCTTTTAGGCTAGGACCCCAATTGTTGGAATCAACACCTAGTTGATTAGATTGTGATAGTCATGTGGATGATAATGATGATGATGATGATGATGATGATAATAATAATAATAATAATAATAATAACGACGACAATGATGATGATATAATGTTATTCATTGCAGTTCTGTAGTGCCTCTCCTAAGGGAGCGTGCCAGAAGTTCCTCATTCACTGCTTATTACACTGAGCAAATTCTAGAAGTTTTGGGGATGTTTTCCAACGGCATTAAAGAAGATCACTGGAAAGACTTCCTAGGGCTTTTCTGGGACAAGATTGTGCATGTGTGATTGTGTGTGCGTGCGCATATCCTCCTTTTCAAAAGGCAGCAAGTACTTATGAGTTACCTATTGCATCAGGAACAAAAGCCATCAAGCTTTGTGATCAGGATGGCGGTTCTTTCAGGGTGCAATTATTGTGGGCAAAGGAGCATGGGAACCTCAACTGGAGTCAGAGGAATCGTGTGCTACAGCAAGGAACCTGATCACAATGGGAGCCATGGTTAATTGCAGTTTGGAGCGGCCACATTGACCTGGTCAGGATCAATGCGCCTTTAGACAATCTCTGCAAGGAGTGAGCATAAAACAATGGGTGAGCTGGACCTTCTGCTAGTTCAGATGTCTATTCAAAGATGAGAGAGTCCTACCGGTTAAAGAAAGGGCAGACAATGGACCACCAGGGGCTTTTTTAAATGATGATTTTGCTTGCTCCCACAGGAAGAACAGTGCAGGGGTATTGTTACCCCAAGGGCAGAGACCGAGTGCGCTACCTTATTTTCTCTTTGGGGGAGAAAGGATTAGATTTTTTTTTTTAAGAAATACAAAACAATGATCCGAATGTTTGCTTACTGGTTTTATTTCCTTTTTGACAGAAATCAGGAGGCATTTAAAACAGTGTTTCTCAGCCTTGGGAACTTTAAGATGTGTGGACATCAACTCCCAGAATCCCATGGCTGGCTGGGGAATCCTGGGAGTTGAAGTCCACACATCTTAAAGGGGCCAAGGTTGAGAAACATGGATTTAAAGCAACAGCAACAACAAGAACTAAATAGGCTGCTGTTGACTTCTGCTGGCAAGGTCTGGGAGAAAAAAAAATGGGCTGGTGGTCCATGGAACAGTTGCCCACCCCTTGGATAACTCTCAGGCTGTCTTTTCAATTGCTTGAAAACTACTCATGTACCATCTGGAGTACTTTCCTGGCTGAAAGAAAGGCAAACAAACAAATAAAAGGGGGGATATAGTAAAAATGAAAAAAATCTTGGGAATTGGTTGACACACGGCTCTTTTTTTCCTTCCAACCCTGTCATTTTAGAATCCTTCATAAAAAGGAGGCAAGGATTTGCCGGTCTTCTGATTCTCCCTGGTTTTTTGGGGGGGAGGGGGAGCAGAGGGTCAGCTTGCTTGCTCTAGAAATTGCCACGTAGGTCAGGTCTGCTCAAATCTCAAAGGTCAAAATTAACATCTGCTGTATCCTTCCTCTTCGTCCATCTACGTCTCTTTGCTTTCTGAGCGTCCACCAGATATTACGGGTTCTCATCCCTTTGAAACAAAAACCCTGCATTTGTTGGAGCCCTCTAACAAGACGGCTGAAAACAGAAGGTCCAATTTCCCACCATGTTGGGGTAGGAAGCAGAAAAAGTGTAGTTCAGGCTACCTAAATAGGCAAATCGTTGATAAAAAAAAAAGAGGAAAATCTCTAAATCTGTTTTTCTCAAGCCTATAATTTGTGTGGTTTGACTCCCCTCTACTTTACACCCTACATCTTCTTTCCAAAAACGTTCAGTGTGGTCCTTTGGCCATCAAAAGTTGGCTATCTCTGCTACAGGTGACACTTGATTTGCTCCTCAGCTGATACCTGCAGATCACTGTCTCTGCTATGATTAGATACAGTGAAGGAACGGAGCAATGATGTCTGGCCTTCCTTGTAACTCTGGTTCAGGGGAAGGTCTCTAGCATGATGGTTGAACCATGCTTGGCAGGCAGGAAGTCCCAACTTCTTCCAACCCTGAACAAAACCTTAGAAACATGCTGCCATTCAAGTTCTGAGTCTACTGGCCATGTTGCTCAGGTGGTCCTGGGGTAGAAGCAAGGCTCTCAGCTGTCTCAGATATAATTTCCCCAAGTCTGGGAAAACACTCCTAATCCTATAAAGAGAAAGTCCTTTCATTCAATAGAACTGGGGAGAGTGGGGACTGAACTAGCCACTATTATGAGCCTTACTCCAAAAACAGGCAGGGCCAGGACCCATTTTTGGAAAGGGGGTTCAGAGGCTTTAGGGTGTGAATGGGGTACCTTAAGCATATACAAGGCTTAAGGCTTAAGATCTTGCCCATAACCTCCCAACACTTAATGAAAAACAAAGCCAACTTCATGTGCTCACCTCCTCTAGGAGGGCTTTGGGGTTACAGAAGGGATGCTGGAAGAGTGCATGTGGTCCCCAGACCACACTTCTTCCATCCCTGCCCTAGTAAGTGTGCATACGTTTCTAGAATTCAGCTAAGGAATTGTTCTTGTGTCTTTGTTGATGGTGGCTCACACCACGAGCTGTGATTTGGCTGGGGGAAGACAGGAGGGCTAAGAGTGCTGCAATCACAAACAGCCCAGCAGAGGGCACTGTTTGTCTACTGTCAAGAAAGTGCCTTCATTTAGCTGCAGAATGCAATAAGGAACAATTAGATTTCTTGCATTTTTTTTTAACACTGCAGTGAAATGTCCTCATTGCAGGAATCATCTGGAGAATATGAATTAACTGCAGCTTTATTACTGAGTAGAAGTTGTAGTTAATAAAAACAGAGGAGCTTTTTGGCCTGACATTTCTGCTTTCCTTTTCCTTAGTTCTTCTCTTCTCTTCTCTTCTCTTCTCTTCTCTTCTCTTCTCTT